TTGCGCAAGTAGACGGAGTGGCCGACTTCTCTGTGGACCGATGGGAGAGGAAGGAAGGTGAGCAGAGCTCCCCTGTCGCCTACGGTGGGATGGAGTGGGCACCAGATGCGGCTGAGAATTGGGGGTAGGTTAACGTAGGCAGTACTCTCACGGGGATTGATCTGTTAGAAGGGAGAACCTTAAAAACACAGCCATCGAGAGAGCCGCTCTGCTGTCTGCTTATAGACGTAGACCCAGATGTGCCAACAACTTAGGACAGGTCATTTCAAAATACTGCCAATTCATGATTGCACTTTTTATAGGTTTATTAAGGCAACAAACTGGAGTTTGCATGTCCAAACTTCAAAGTTTGTTACCGAACAGATTTCTTTTCCTCCTTCATTTCATCTGTGGGTTAGGGTGCATTTGTCCCATGTCCTATAGAGGCAGAAGAACGCTGATCCTTCATCCTGAGTGTCTCCTAGAAACCCTGTGTGAGGACTCTCCCTACCTCTTTTGGGGGTTTGTAGAAGAAATATTTGATTAGTGTTTCAGTAGCTCTTACCGAATGGGATATGTCAGATTTCTTGAAGGAAAACATTTTCCTAGAATCCCAACATACCTAGCCATTCTTGTCATACATCGGTGATCATGCTCCCTGTCCAGCAGATGTTGATCTCTGTGTGCCCTCCTCGGGTCTCCGTTGATCTTTTTTTTTTTTTTTTTTTTTTTTTTTTTTGGTTTTTTCGAGACAGGGTTTCTTTGGAGCCTATCTGGATACCAGGCTGGCCTCGAACCCACAGCGATCCGCCTGCCTCTGCCTCCCCAGTGCTGGGATTAAAGGCGTGCGCCACCAATGCCCGGCTTCCATTGTTCTTAATCGTGAGGATTGCTGACCTTTTCCCATCTGGAAATATAACAACATATCATCAACACATTTTAAGCTGTGATGCTGCCATATCAATGATAAATATTATTTGGTCTGGTCCAGTCTTCCATCTTGTAATGTTTCCAAGTGAAGGCCACTGACCCCATGACACAGTCTCACATACTATGTAGCTAGCTTTGTAACCTTTGGAGGTTACTGTTTTATGCCCATGTTTCATAATTTTATACAGTTATGGCTATATGTAGAGTGCTTAGAATGTCAGAAACATGGTCAGCACTTGAAAAAAAAAAAATTCACTCACTCATCCCAAATGTGAGATCTCCGTGTGTTGCCCTGCTTCCCTTGGGCTTTTCTCGTTTGGAACACTCGAGGGTTGTACTGGGTCACTCTGTGACACATACACACTCTTACCAGCTCTTAGAAATAAAGCAACCCAAACATTAATATTTGGGAAGCAATGGCTTTTGGGGGACTCTATTGTCGTAAAGAAAAAAAAAATCCTATTAAACTCATATACCTAAATAGCAATATATGTTTTACTCAGTTTAAGATTCTGAATCCCTTAAGAGTTTGAATAGCGACATTTTTAAATTGCATATAAAAATTAAAGGTCATAGCAGGTTGAGGTGGAAAAACCGTGAAGCAAATTGGAGTTCTTTATTCAGTGAAAGTAGAACACTGTTCAAATGTATACACTTCTGCCTGTGACGTTAGCTTTCTATTTTGTGAATGACAAATGGATTCCTTTTAACAATATTTGAAGAAAGAGTGCGTGATTTGTTTGGTGATTTGTTAGGCAATGGCATGAGAACACAGAAGAAACAGTCATTCTTGTGTCTGGGTTCAATGTTTGCCTAGTATGAACAGTTCATGACAGAAAGCTAGGCTAATCATCCAATGTACTGCACATAAAAAATATACTATTATAAGCTGGGCGTTGGTGGCACATGCCTTTAATCCCAGCACTCGGGAGACAGAGGCAGGCAGATCTCTGTGAGTTCGAGGCCAGCCTGGTCTCCAGAGTGAGTGCCAGGATAGGCTCCAAAGCTACACAGAGAAACCCTGTCTCGAAAAACATATATATATCTACTATTCTAGATGGTTTTGGAGCTAGAGGAGGAAGTGAATGCCTCATGCTGCTTGCTGTGTTCATGGGATTATGATGTCCTCCGTTCTCTGGTTTTCTGCTTCTGTGAACAGGGGGTGGTGGTATCACCTGTGTGCTTCAGGATGGGCGTGTGTTTGAAAAGGCTGGAGTGAGCATTTCTGTCGTTCATGGGAATCTCTCTGAGGAAGCAGCCAGCCAGATGCAAGGCAGAGGAAAAGTCATGAAGAGGAAAGATGGTGAGTCGGGTCACTCTCCAAGCCAACTCTTTCCCCACCAGTTTTACATAAGCATAGCTCTTTCTTCTGGAACATACGCCCAGTAAACACGTTCACATGCTTTCATTGTGAAAATTATCTTAAGGGACACGTTACAAAATGGCTTCTGGTAATGGACTCAGAAACCACAGGGGAGGAATGCGTGTCAAACCAGGTGATTGAATTCATCTCACTGTGCTACTTTCCTTTCCAGGTAAATTGCCATTTACCGCTATGGGTGTAAGCTCTGTGATTCACCCCAAGAATCCTTATGCACCCACAATGCATTTCAACTACAGATACTTTGAGGTAGAAGAAGCTGATGGTAAGCCCCTCAAGGAGTTGTGCAGAATATCACTGTGCAAAGTCGGTATTTTAAAGAAATCAAAAGATACTGGATCAAAAAGTGAGAAAGGGCAGGATTACTATATTTTTCAGCAGCGCTATCGTGGCTTAGTCTTGGTAGGGTGTACAAGACCTGAAATATCAGGATCTTGATTCTCTCCTCCAATGTTTCCTCCACACAGAATGATTTTGTGAACCAAAACTCCAATCCCAACACAAAGTTTTTTTGCAAATATAAAGTTGTTGTTTCTGAAATTGAGAACTTGCCTTTGGGACACACACACAAATATATGTGCCCGAGGACCAAAGTTGTATGTATGTATTCCCCACATACTCATTTAAAAAGCCTGGAGCTGGGGAGTATAGGCAGGAGGATATCTGGAGCTAGGCAGTATAGCGAATTGGTGAGTTCCAGGTTCAGTGAGAGACCACGTCTCAAAACAAATAAGAGGGTAAAGTGATTAAGGAAGACATCTAATGTCAACTTCTGGCCTCTATACAAATGCCCATGGATGCCTATGTTCCCATGTGCACCTGCACACACACAAACATTACATACTCATGTACACATGTAAAAGTTAGTAACTTGTATTGACAACTTTACAGATAAGAGCGAGTGCATGAAACAGTTGTTCTTACATGACAGATTGCTCCTTTAGTGGGTGTTTTCTCCCTTTATAGGGTAAATGGAATGCGTCGGTGGCTTTGGGGTAACTCCTAATAGTGGGATCACCAGAATCTCCTGCATTATTTTTTATTAGCTTCACATGTCTGAGGTAGAAATCGCTTTTTCAAATAGTCATCTAGCTGAGCTGTTTGGGGTGTGTGATCCTAAAGTTAAGCCAGCATTGAGATTCATAGATGAGACCAGCTGTACGGACTGTTATTACTCCCTATTCTCTCCATTTCCCTGCCAGCCTCTTCTCTCTCACTAACTTCCTATCTCCTTTTCTTTCTGTTTTTACATCATGCCAGCCTCAGCTTTACCGGCTGTCAGAACCAAATTCTTTTCAATGTTCTTTGACTACAACCTATTTCATACCAGTGAATTCAGTTGCTGCATTAAGCTTGCTAGTACAGCCTTTGGTGTGCTCAAGGCCACACTGATTCAGCCTTCTTGCTTTGGCAGGTAACACACACTGGTGGTTTGGGGGTGGATGTGACCTCACACCAACATACCTGAACAAAGAGGATGCTGTCCATTTTCATCGCACTCTAAAGGAAGCCTGTGACCAGCACGGGCCAGACATCTACCCCAAATTTAAAAAATGGTAAGCTGTTGAGACTGTATTTTCAGTAATCTTTTATGGACCTTATTTCTATAAAGACTATGCAAAGAACTCTTTCCAAGTTAAGGACAATTCTACACGTTTAGCATTAGTAAGCGGTGTCTTAGGAGCCTTGTTTTATTAGGCAGAGCACAAAAGCATCCAGATTGGCTGATGGCTTCCTGTGCTGGCTCATAAGGATAACCTTCAGCGCATATGAAGACTCTCCGTAAACATTTCCTTCTGCCAACCTTTGCCCAAGCTGTGCATGCTTTAGGGGCACCCTGTCTAATACTGAAAGAGACCTACAGTCGTTTACAGCATTCTGCTTTTGGCAAAATGAAGACTCGACACAGAAGAGCTCAGGCTTGCTCCCCAGCTGGTGTCAGTGTTAGGAGACCCTCATGCTCTGCCTCCTGTAAAAGCCAGTGTCCCAGCGTGTGGTGTCACTTGCTTTAGGAAGTACGATAGCCATGCTGTACTCCTGTTTTATTCCCTGAAGTTCTTAGTGTTCCTTATGCTTTAGATCGGCTTGTTTTGAACCGCCTGGTTGCTCTGCAGTTAAGAGGACATGTATATGCTGTATAGGTAATAGCCTCAGAAAATCTGGCCAAAGTCCTAGTTTCAAAGCTGTATAGAAAATAAAGATCTTGACGGTATGAGTCAAGGAGAGTGCTTGGAACCTAAAGGCCTTTATCTGTTTCCCTGTCTCTCTCATCTTACGTTTTGGTCCATGATTTAATTCTACTGCATGTTCCAGGTGTGATGACTACTTCTATATAGCGCATCGTGGGGAGCGGAGGGGCATCGGAGGCATCTTTTTCGATGATCTCAACTCTCCATCCAAGGAGGAAGCGTTTCGCTTCGTTAAGACGTGTGCTGAAGCTGTGGTTCCTTCTTATGTTCCCATTGTGAAAAAGCACTGTGATGACTCATTCACCCCCGAGGATAAGCTGTGGCAACAGCTGAGAAGAGGACGGTGAGTGAAGGAAGAACGAACCCGAACTGTCTCTTTGCCCAAATTACAGAAGTGGTGGGGGTGGTGGGGGCTCTATTATAATAGTGGCTATTGAATTATTTTGGACAAATACTTTATAATATTCATATGAATCCACACTGTTAATTTTTTTCTTAAGTAGATGAATATTAAAAATGAATTTAGTAGCATTGTATAATAATCAATATCACAAGGTTTACTCAATTCACATACACACACACACACACACACACACACACACACACACACACACATATATATTCAGGTAGATTCAAATGCCATATAAGCTAAGTACTTGTAGAACTTAATTCTCTTCCTTTCCTATTGACAATTTCTATCCTTCTGCTAAGATGAGGACATCATTTAAGTTTCTTTTTTCTGCTTATAAATTTATAGTCACACCTTTAAAAAAATTCATCTTAAATATGTTATGAAACTGATTATAATATAAATGATTCATTCTTAATGATAATTTTTACTTATTTTGGACCTCTTACTATGCATAGCCCTTGTACGAGGTATATTGTATCCGGTTTTCCTAGGAAACCTGTGGCATACATGGCACCATCATTTTACTGATCATAAGGTGTCCTTATCAAGTTAATTCCTTTGCCTGAGATAACACAGCAGGTCAGATAACATTCCAGATGTGTAACTGAATTGTCCTGTCTGTTCTTTTCACCTTTACTTAGCCCCAGCCCCTGACTCTGTATTGAACTTAGTGAGTTCATAGCTGGATAAAGAGGTTGTGCTCAGTGTGGTGATATATTGCTTATGATTTATTAAAGCTTGCCTGAGGATTCAAAAAGCAAAGTCAGCCACAAGCCTTAGAAGCCAAGCACATTGATCCCAGGAATCAGGATTAAGAGGTAGACCAATCTCTGTTAGTTCAAGGCCACACTGAGCTACGAGAAATTGATCCAGTCCTAAAAAGCAGCTCACACAAAGGTGATCTCAGCACTTGGGATCACATGCCTTTAATTCCAGAACCCATGAGAGGTATTTAAGACAGGAACAGGATCTCAGTGCTGGCATTCATTCTCCAGCCACATTGAAGGTAGGAAGAAATTGAAGTCTCAGGAATTCCCCAGCCATGCTGAGGAGAGGCTGAAGTCTGCGTTTTGGTGGAACCGAGATCACCTTTCAGTCTGAGGTAGAGTAAGGGCTAGTGGCCAGCTGCTTTGCTTTTCTGGTCTTCAGGCAAGCTTTACTAAATCTTAAGCAATATATCACCACAGTTCAGTCACAATATTGTGAACACGTCCACAGATCCACTCTGCCAGCCCCGTTTCTTTGGCCATCTTAATTGCATATGCACCATGAGTCACAGTCACCATGGATTCTTCTAATTCATGTTAATTCCCTCAGTCACCTGAAACTTTGAGGCCCTCAAGAGGCAAAGCTGTGCCTTGAAGAGGCCTTGAAAAATTCTACTTAAATATTTCAAGTTGAAGGAGAAATGTTCGTGTTTAACTTTCTGGGTTTGTATGTTTCACTTAAATAATTGTGTGCCCTGGTTGGTCCCCATGTAACAACCTGATGAAGTGAGAAGTGATTCAATTTTCTTTTAGAAAAGGTTTAAGCATACATACACATACACAATTGTCAACTCTATACTTCCCATTCTAGCCTCCTTTCTCTAGATTTATCTTGCCCCCTCCCTGAAAGGTAAGGCATGGGCCTGACTACAGAGTAGGCAGGCATAGCATAGAAGAGGTGGGGAGGGAAGGTATTACTGATTAAAACTGCTTCAGGCCAGGCGGTGGTGGTGGTGTACACCTTTAATCCTAGCACTAAGAGACAGAGGCAGGTGGATCTCTGTGAGTACTGAGGTCAGCCTGGTCTACAGAGAGAGTGCCAGGACAGGCTCCAAAGCTCCACAGAGAAACCCTGTCTTGAAAAAAAAAAAAACAAAACAAAACAAAACCAAAAACCCCCCTCAGCTTCAGTACTGGACATACTCAGTTTATACAAAGCAGGAAAGTTTTATGAATCCTCCTTAGGTGATGCTTTTACCACTTCTTAGACAAAACGACAACATTTTCTCCTTTTCTATCATTTGAAGGCAGGCCATTCTGTGAGTTCTACTCTGTGTGTCTCATTGCCTGTCCGCTGTCTTTTGCCTTAGGAAATGTGTGAAGTGATAAATTCCTCATGGCTTAGTATGTCTCTAATGTTCAAATAAAAGCTCTCTGTCACCTTTCTCTCTGGGTTGGAAGATAGCAGTGGCCTCTGGGGCTTAAGATAACCCCAGAATCATTGTAAAGACACCTAGGGGTCAGCACTGGCTTCAGTTCTTACCCTGTATTCAGAACTTGTTATCTGTGTCCTTTACAGACCTTTCCCCTCCCCCACCCTTAAAAAAGACTGTCCCTTTCAGGACTCGCTGGTTCCTTTTTTACTTTATTTACATTCTCTTACTTGTGCAACCCATCTAGTTTCGTGTCTGTTACTACTGTCCTCTTCTTAGACCTTGAACTTTAGTCTCCTAGTCATCTTTCCATAAGAAAATAGGAACTAAAAGTTCAACTAATTTTTCTTTTCTTATTTCTGGAAAAGGGAGGACAGCAGGATAGAATAGAGATATTTGTGAAATTGAAGCAATTCTTTACAGCCTGTGGATTATAAGAACATCAGTGGTTGGATGCTGATGTTAAAAAGCACTAGAAAGGTCAGGTCCAAGTGAAAGCTTCAAGAGTCAAGGCATATTTTGAGCAAGGAAGCATCATGACTCAAAAAAATAAAAAAAATAAAAAAAATAAAGAAGATACACAGTGCGTCTTGAGAATTCCTGTATAGCAGTCTTTGAGATAGGTCTTCAAAGATGTTACAGAACATTTTGTAGAAAGACAATGTTAAGTGAAGAAGGTTTCTAAGAGGGGAAATCCTTTCCCACAGATTCAGGAATGAGTTTTTTGTTATTGTTTGTTTGTTTGTTTTTAATTAATTTTTTTGTTTTTAATTTAATCTTTGTTTTTAATTTAATCTTTTGAGATAGGCAGAAGAAGGAATAAAATAGTCATTAGTGCATGAAAGTCAGTCAGTAACAAAAAAGATGGAGACAGAAAGGAATTGTAGATCCAGTGGCTTAAATTGTTAAGGTTCTCTGACAAAATTCCCCACAAAGCTTGTCTTAGCCAAAAGTGAAGTACTATAGGATTCTAGAGGTGTTTTCTGTTTGTACTTTGTTGTGTTTTGTTTTTTGCTGTTGATGGGCTTAAAGACAGCCACTTGTACACTACCTAAGAATGTCTGAGGGGAGTTCGGACTGAGCTTCCTGAATGAGTCGGGAAATGACTGGAAGGGGCTTTGTAGAAAATCAGGTTTATGAGTCATTCTGAATTCTTTTAAATAATTTATTTACTTTTATTTCATTTGCAGGTATTTTGCCTGCATGTATGTCTGTGTTAGGAGTCAGATCTTGGAGTTAGAGACATTTGTTAACTGCCATGTGTGAACCCGAGTCCTCTGGAACTGCAGTCAGCGCTCTTAACCACTGAGCCATCTCTCTAGCCTCATTCTGAATTCTTTAGGACAGTAGCAATTACAGCTTTAAATCTGAAGAGACTTTTGAATACTATGATGTTTAAAGCAAAAACAGATGTTTAGGCTAGGTGGAGTTCCAATCTGTTTTCCTAACAGTGAGTAGAAAATTTGGACAATACACTGAAGCCAACTTTAGTTAGTACCAAAGATATTTTCATAAAGAAAAAAAGAGGGTAAAACTATGTACTGAATCGCAGAGCAGTAGCTCTTATAGTAATGGCTGTAAACAGAGCAGGAATGAGCGGTCCATCTCTGGATGCTGTGAACTTCTGTAGAGAGGGAGCAGGATCTGGTTACTGTTAGTTGTTAACTGATGGCTCCTTGCTTAGTAGTGCTTGGTCCTTACCTGTAGATGTTCAGCACTCCTAGTGGAGTGCTATGAGGTAGAATGAGATGAAGCCCTCTTTCTGAAATGCCTTGTGCTATAGTGAGGACCTGAGCTGTGTTACCCATGAAAGAATGCTGTTTCTTTCTTAATTGTTGTGCATGCCCGGTCCTAATTGGTGTTTGAGCTGTTTGTTCATGTGGAGAACATAACCGTCTTGATTTGTAATTGCTCGGTGTTGGGCGCCATCTGTATCCCATTGTTCACTGAGTACAATACCCTTTTATTTATGCTTCCCAGAGGAGACAGCTCCGTGGGCTGTGAGCTGCTTCTGTGTGGTGGCTCCCAGGTGACGGGTCTGGAGAGAAGCTCCTTATCAGTGTTCCTTAGGATTTCTGGAAGGTTTCACTCAGCATACCCTTACTGGTTTTTGTTTGGGACCTTTTTTTTTTTTTTCCATCTACATTATTTTATTTGGAAATATTTATAACAGTACAGTGAAACAAAACTTCAGAGACAATGGCTGTCATTAGTTTAGGCATTATCAGTATTATAAAAGGGAATTATTTACGGGATGAATAGTTGAGAATGTCAGTGGAACGGGCAGCTTCATGTGACACTGTTTCAACAGTGATTTCAGTCCACATCCTTTACAAATGTCACCATCTCAAATAAGAAGTAAGCCTTGTCGTCTAGAACTACTTTGGTGCCTCCATATTCTGGGAGAAGAACTTTGTGTCCAACTTTCACACTGAGCGGTTGAATCTCTCCGCCTTCTCCTTTCACGCCTGATCCCACAGCTACTACTGTTGCTCGTAATACTTTTCCTTGAGACTTTTCCAGAAGGAGAATGCCACCCTTGGCTACAGTTTTGGTGGCACTCCTTCTAACCAGTACTTGTCCAAGAGTGGAAGAAACTTTCTGAAAGCTTGTTTGGCCATGACTTACGCTGCTGCAGCTCTAACTCTGCACTTGGGGCCACTACTGCAAAGGAGAGTCCTGCGGGCCAGCTCAGGACATTCAAAGAGAAAACAAACAAACAAACAAACCAACAAACCAACCAAAGTACCATCCCCTTATTGTTATTTGTCTTTTTGACAGGTACGTAGAGTTTAATCTCTTATATGACCGAGGCACCAAGTTTGGTCTCTTTACTCCGGGATCCAGGATTGAAAGCATCCTAATGTCCTTACCTCTAACGGCTCGGTAAGCAGAAAGCTCATCATAGTCATTGACCCCTTCAGTCCCTGTGCCCTACAGAATCTGCACGTTAACCCTCACAGTGTGTTACCTGCAGCTTTACCTGTTTTCATTTTGCTGATTTTATAAGACACATCAAATTGGATTTTGGAAGAAGTGACAGGATGAATGTCACAGCTTTGTGTATGAGGACCTGGAGAAAGCATAGGGGGTGGGAATGGTGCTTGAGAGTTTGCGGTTGATGTTGCTCACAGCCTTGTTCTGGAAAGATACATGTGTAAAAATTAAGCTAATATTTATGTATCATCCAAAGTTCTATGCTTTATGAAACCCTACTTTATAATCAACGTGTATTTTGACTTTAGGATCTTAATATTAACCCAGATGTACCTAAGAATTATTAAGAAAATCAACCTCTTAAGTAGCAGGGTTTTTTTTGTTGTTTTGTTTCGGGTTTTGTTTTTTATTTTTTAAACATGAGAGTGCAAGGCAGGGTAGGCACGGGGACGTGGAGGTACAATGCTTTCTTTTTACCCTTGGGATCTTGTTCTTCACTAGCCATGTATGTCATTTATTGTTACTTTGTTTGCATTTTCTTGCTTTGTTTTGGATATGTGTAGATGGGAGTACATGCATTTGCCACCAGAGAATTCCAAGGAAGCTGAAATTCTGGAAGTACTGCGCCATCCGAAGGACTGGGTACACTGATGCAGCAGAGTGTTGTTCCAGGGCCTGGCGGACACAGGCGTGAACTTCCTGCGCTGTTGCCACTGTATGGCAGGCAATCCTCTGTGCCTTACTCTGTCCCAGCCTTCTCCACTCTGGGCATCGCCTCTGTGGCAGGGGGCTTTGGATCTTTTCCACTGCTGTGGGGTGACATAGCAGTGATGGATGGTGATGTAAAGGTGCCAGCTCTGTTGGATGTAAAAAGCATTTGTCCTTTTAGAATCATGTTCTATGACCAGTTAATTTGACTTTGGGTTTCCAGGTCTTAAGAAAAGGGAATGTAAGTATTATAATATGGACCAGGAAACTCTTCATTTTATTTGTTGCTTCAAGTTTTAGTTTTTGCTACAGGAATTTATCAGGGGATATGTTTTATCTTCATTAGTTCATTCATGTTGGCCTTCTTGGTAACTTTAGAATGCAGTTTGAAGCCTGGTGCTCAGGAGGTAAAGGCAGGTGGATCTCCATGAGTTCAAGGCCAGCCTGGTCTACAGAGTGAGTTCCAGGACAGCCAGAGCTACACAGAGAAATCCTGTCTTAAAAAGCGAAAAAAATGCAATTTGAAGGGATATGTTTTCCTTTGTCATTTTTGAAGTTGTTTTTTTTTTTTTTTTGATGTAAGTTTCATGTGTCTTTCTCTGTTGATCAGAATATTATAAAAAATATTCTTTTTTTAAATAAAGATAGGTATTTTGGAGCACTTGAAATTTTCTTAAGTCAGTTTCTGCATTACAATTCAATGGTGACCTACAGTTTACAACTGTAAATGGCATTATTTAAATAAGGGACACCTAAGTAGTGTTTTTTTGTGTGTGTGGGATGATAATTTGCTGACATTTGGATTCTATGTATTTTTTAAAGCAAAAGCTTATATCCCTGGATTCTGATACTTAGAGTTTTATATTTCAGATATTTAGATATGGGAGTTTAGACTAAGAACAAATGAAGAATATTTTCCTTCTTTAATTAAAATGAATGGAACTAGTCTAACATGTGGGTATTTTATATTTCTTAAAAAAAAAAAAACAAAAAAACAGACCAATTGAAATTGTCCTACTTTTCAAATTAGCAATTCCTTAACTTTTATCTTTTCTCTTAAAAGTCACAGCATATTTCTTAATGCATGGTTTATCTTCTAATAATATTGTGACTGCAATATTATTATTATGTGTCTTACTTGAGTCCTAATATATTGAATTTGCAAGGAGCAGCATCTCATACATATTTAAATATTATCCTGGGATATGTTGAATGTATGTGATTGTGTTTGGCTCTTTTAGGGTAAGAAAATCTACAGATTCTGCCACATGTCTTATACAGATCCAGCTAATAAATTTTATTTTGAAATAAGACAAGTAAGAATTTTTAGTCTTTATTTTATTGGGATGACTTAGGAATAAAATACTTCTCAGTGCTAAAACCATATAGTTCCTTATTACAAGGTGTTTTATCCAAGAGAAATATAAATTTCACATTTCATTTTCTTAGCAATTTTAGTAAGAACAGACAAAATTAAAGCACCTCAAATGGCAAATTAGCAGGTAAATGGATAAACAGTTTGTGACTGAGCAACAAAAAAGTATTACCACTGAAAGCAACCATGTGCGAGGAGGCATCAAAGGTACCATGCCAATAGAAGGAAGCCAGACACAAAAAGAATGTGCTGTCAAATGTCACCTGTGAAAACTAGACCAGGAAGACTTTATGCAGGGAAGCAGGTCCTTGGCTGCCACAGGCTGCAGGTGGGGAGCTAATGACGTTTTCTGTGCTATGACTGAGGTGGTGATTGTAATTAGACTCTGTACTTTTATCAAAATTCACTGAACTCAACATTACAACATCATAAAACTTTCTTGTGTTTGTGGGTAATATTTCAGTACTGGTGATCTGGAAGAAAAACATAACAGATATTTAAATACACCTGTCTGGTTACCTTTTAAGAACTGAAAATGTCAAGCTGAGCATATGGTTCAATGGTAGAGCATGTCTAGCATGTATAAAGCCTTGGGTTTTATTCCCAGAAATACGGGGAGGGGATCACACTGATCTCTGGCCGATTTGGTGGTATTTAAAGTTTGTATGTGGTAGACACAAGACAAAGATGAAAATTTAAAATCCTGTGCATCTGTTTTGAATTCTTCAGTAACCGCTATGGAGCCATGTCTGGGAGACCAGTAACAACTGCAAACTTGAAGATAATTCTGTCCTTCAAAGTGAATTGCCCTTTCACAATCTGATTGATGTTACTCCGAGTTTACCCGATGAGGGTCCACATCCTTGTGGCATAGTCACATAACTCCTGTTGTCTTACACAGGCATGCCGTTGGTCCTAAGGGTGTATCAGGAGAGATGTAAATGCACAGGGACAAGTATCTAACTCCTCTCCCACCACTGTGCTGTGCTTGCTTAGAGTAGTATGATTTCTATTACTGTCATGAAATACCAAAGGCTGGGTATTTCACAAAGGTTTAGATTGTTGTTTTGAATGCTGAAAATCGAGGCTCAGGCAGCTCCATTAGTTTGGCCTCTCTTGAGGGTCTTTTTGGCTGGGTCACAACATGGAAGAGAAGAGGGAAGGGAAGTGGTCACCTACCATAGAGGCTAAGCATGTGCAATGGATATCTTTATAATAACACACTCTCATGAGAACTAACTTCTGAGAAATCAGTCTTTATCCCTTCTCAGGGCAGTGTGCCCAGTGACCTAACTACCTCATATTAGGCAAGATCACTTCAAATTTCCACCACTTTGAAATCCTTGCAGAGAGGACCAAGTCTCCAACATGTGACCCTCCAGAAGCCAAACAACAGTGGTCAGCTGTTGGGCATGCCCAGATCAGCCAGAGAATATATTTTTACAGGACACATCTTTTCATGTGTCTTTTGTTATTTAACAGACATAACCCACCTGAAAGTTTGAAAGGCAATGTGTGAGTTTGGCCAGGACAACTCAGTTTCCTCCATGTTAGACAGCAGGTCACGATGCCCCCTGGTGGCTCAGAACATGCGCTCCATGGGTAGAATGGAAGCAGCAGATTGGTTTTCTGATCTAACCTCTGAATTGTCACTTGCTCCAGATTCCACTGGTTACAAGAGAGTCTACATCCAAGAGGTAGGGAATTAGTTCCCAATAGCCTGCTTGCCTCTAGTCACTCTGGGTCCTTCAGAGTTGTTTATCTAGATCCCATTGGCACTTCCATACTGAATCTTCAAAGCAAGTCCTATAGAAAATCTGAAATTAGCCTGACACCGAAACTGGCCTATTGTTTGGCTCCTGCTGCTCTTCACCTCTTCTGTGTTTCTTTCATTCACTTTGCCTTCAGACTATTTGCTGAGCCTCCTTTCGGATATGCCACCTCGGACCTTCTGGAAATTGCTCTCTTTGCTTGGACTCTCTCATGCGCTTGTCCGTCATGCCTATGCCTAGTTCAAATTTCTAAGAACCCTGTTCTGGTAATAGACACACCTACTTGTTCAACACATTTCTTATTTTATCACTGTCGTCACAGTAGTCATCCAGTGTAAATTTCATTAAAAATAACGTATGTAAGATGGCGGTTTATTTACTTAGGAGTGCCTTGTTAATCCTTTGTTTCCTGTGTTTTTGCAGAACATTATGATATCAAACTTAACAACGTGTGATAAATCCTAATCTGTGAAAGCAGAATTCCAAGGGTCCATCTAGAAAAGCCCATTTAGAAACTGTGTTCCTGCCGCAAATATCAGCAATGTATTTGAAAGCCCACATTCTAAAGTTGAGTTCCTCCCAAAGAAATATACCTTTCTTATGTCTTATTTCATCATAAACCTTAATCAGAACCCTTATATTAGTGAGACTTAGGTGCTTGCAAATGCTTGACTAATCCCCTGTGTTCCCTGAATCCCAGTCACAAAGAGAACCTCACAGACTGGTTTCTACCAGTGGTTTTAAATCAAGCCCACACTGAGGTGTGCCGGCAGAGCAAGGTAATCAAACTGCATTCCATCTTCCCTGCACAGTTCCTGGTTCAAGTCTAGAAGACAAATCATTCAACTGGCATTTCAAAATGTCTTTCACCTGCAGTCTCTTGTCTCTTTTATGTTCCAGAAACATGCTTTAACATGAAACTTGGCATGATTTAACCTGCCATATCCTCAACAAGGTTACCACAAAGCTGGCCATGGAATGACAATTGCCACACTGCTGTTTTTGGTAATGCTAATTTGCTTATAAAATGGTTGATGAGGCTTCCAACTAAAGTTCACGTTAGTTATAGCTAACACATTTATAAATTAGTCTTCATGGTTATTTTCTTTCCCATGTTCATTTTTCAATTGGGTAAGGCAGGAGCCCTTTTTATGATCTGTTCCATTATAATCACAAGTATAATGTGTGAATGCAACCCAACTTAGCAAATTCTTGAAGTTTAACTTTTAAAAACAATAGGTTCAATAAATATCCTTTAAGATATTTTAATTGTAGTATCTACCACAGTATAACTTAGCAGCTTGTGCTGAAGGCAGTTTTTAATTCTGTAAAGTGCAATTCCTCTTTTACCCTACTCAACCTGAAGGTGTACTTAAAAATAACATAGATCAGTGCTGGGGAGATGGTTCAGCAGTTAAGAGCCCTCTCTTCTTCCAGAGGACACAGATTTAATTCCCAGCATCCATTTGGTAGTTCACAACTGTCTGTAATTCCAATTCCAGAGGATCTGACAGCCTCACCCAGACATACATAGAGGCAAAACACCAATGCACATACAATAAATAATTAAAATATAAGAAGAACTGAACAAGGACCTGCTTTTCCTCATTTTAGTAAGGAATGGGACATAGGTCACCTCCCTTGTTAACAGCCAAAGGCAGTCTTCTCAGCTGACACTGGCATGTAAATAGAGACAAGTTATCCCTGAGATCTTGGAATCAGTGATTCACAGAATCTTGGTGAACGACAAAGTGGTTGTGGTCGTGTGTCATTCAATGTGAGGTTTGTCAAAGAGCAATCGATCGCTGGAACATGGTAGATGCCATTTACAAAATCGAGGGGAGCTTTTTGATGAGCTTAAAAAGCCTGCATCTCATGAGGAAAATTCTATCCAGAAGCATAAATATACCTATTAGGTACATAAAGGTGGTAATTGAAAAAGTGGAAAATTGAAAAGGAGGACGGCCCAAGGAAGTGACAGCAGTATAAGAAAGGAAGGCACAGACTGAACCAGGGCAGAGGAATGACCAGGGGAGGAAGTCCCAGCAGAGGAAGCCAAGAAACAGCTCATCTAACTGGAATAGGGAAGAGAGAAATTGCAAGGCTGTAGTGTGACTGCCGTATGGTGAAAACTTTATAGCTGCTGTCTGTGAAGGAAAGAGAAGGTAGTAGTGTAGTGTATGCTCTGTGCCTACATGCTTGATCAGTGTGGAATTAAATTAATATTTAACAAATGGTTGTAGTCCATTAAAAAACGAGATATTCTCGGCACTAAAAGCTAGGTAACAGTGATTGCATTGACGTGAAGTATCTGCAGGCTCTTACTGTGCACAAACAGGACATTCTTGACAGAACCAATAGGTGGAGCAGCTTTGCTCAAGAAATGCAATTCTAGGTTTTGGAGAGGCAGGTAGAGGGGAGGGAAAAAATGAAGAAAATTGAGGAAGAAGGAGGGAGAGTGAGTGATAAAAGGAGGAAGAGGGAGAGGAAGGGGGGACAGAGAGATGAATATTCAGTAGGAGGAAGCAGAATAAGACAAGATGTGAGAACCTTTGAAACTTGTGCTCCTTAAACTCCCTTCTCTGGAGAGGCTTTCTGGAGGAGCTGTTAGCAACTCGACAAGGCTTTACTGCTGTTCGTGTGAGGCTCCAACACGTTCCATGTTTCTCACAATTGCCAGGAACCGCTGCACCTGCCATGGACTACAGTTGCAAGAATTGTTGCAAGTTCGTACCAGGGTTCTTGTCAGGATTCCCATAGAATCCACCCTGGAGCTGACTTCATGGGAAAATGTGTGCCCTTTTCTGAGAATGGACGAGGATAGTTTGACTTTCATATAAGAAGCAATCTGGCAGAAATGTTGAAAGACATTCATTCAAAAGGGGGGTGTCCAGTGTATAGCTTCTGTACACCTACAGAATGTGTTTGAAACTTCAGCAAGAAGAGAAAGTCTCCATTTTTGTGTCCAATTTAATTGTTTCTACCATAAACCATCACAATGCTAATTACTCTCAGTTTAGAGGGAAGTCATAAAGCACAGAGAACTCAGGTAGTAAATAAAAATAAAAGATAGACATGTAAATCAAGCTCAGTTGGGGAACTTTAAACTAAATTTATAACACATAATATAAAATTAGAGCTATAGCTAACATGTCTGTTATAGCATGTC